TGTTTGACTTTCAAAGGCCCATAAATCGCTACAATGTTGATATTCGATAATGACTATAGTTATCGTTTGCAATTAGTATATCTTTTATTTCTGAATCAAATCGTGGTATTTCTGTCTTCATAGCATGCACTGAACCAAATATATTAAAATATGAGCCGTCAACCGCTCGAGGACGACGCGACTGGGACTGGTGGAAGAAGACGATAAAAAGCATTCAACAACATTTGTTTTTTGTCTAAAACATGGAATTTGTTAGATCATAAAGTGCGACTTATTTCAATTGCTTAAAAACGTCACACTTCACTATTAAATCCCAGGGAAGCGGGACCATATAAACAGCCCCAAAAATGAGGCGGGCACATTGACGTGACTCATTAATTATTCCAGTGAATAATTAATGAGTCACGTCAATGTGCCCGCCTCAAATTTCAGAAAGGAGAGAGGTCAAGGTCATGTGTAAAAGGGATGGACGAGAGGTAGTTTACAAGATGGTTCCAAAATTGAAATAAGAGTTTGCGACTTTGCGTTAGTATTAGGGTTAGTGTGGGGGTAGGATTAGGGTTAGGTGTGTGGTGAGGGTAAGGTTTAGTATTGTTGCAAGTAGCTGGTTGGTGATTCTTTTACGTTTTAATGATCTTAAAAACTGGCGGCTATCTTGAAAACATGCCTCAAGTACATCCCCTTTAGCCTCGACAGAGAGGTCAATAATAACTCTCTACGCAATTATATTTTATTCCTAATAATCACCAGAAAATTTGAATAGAAAATTTTGGTCACACCAATATGGCTCTACCCAGTCTATTTTTGAGTTCAGTGAGGTTTCGTGATTGGCTATTTAACTGTAAGCTATTAGCCGATCAGAAGTAACGTAGTATATTACAATGTCGAAAATATAATGAATGACATAACCCTTACTTCAACCTCCACAAAACATTGCCTGCTAGCGCTCACTCTCAAATTGCGTTCAAATGGCTGTTTATATATGTGAACGTATATGTAATGTTATGGATTCCAACGCTAAACCCTACTGGTGGTCGAATACTGGGGCTGATGTGTTCTTCAATCTCCAACCCATCGTTTGTTGTGCATGCCAAGCACGGTTCCTCCCAGTGTAGTTCAGTTTTGTGACCAATGGCTCCATATAAAAAGTAATTTTCTGATATACAATCGCAATTTTCTAGAGTAGAAGATAAACTAGAATTAGTAAAATATGGAATAATATAATTAGCAATTATTGAATGAGCTTGAGCATTGGAAACCGAATCCAAAAGTTGTTTTATTATTTATTTAAAAGTGGGTTCAATTCGCAGTACTGTAAAAGTTATTTATCAAGTTACGGTTACAATTACATGCTCGAAAAAGGAATGGTTAAGCGTTAATGAGCAAAGTTTCCTTCGACACGTCCAATATTTCGTCCATTCTTTCAAAATAGAAATGTAAAACTCTTCACTTTTTGCTGCAGATAAATGTAAAACAGTCGAAACTAATCCAAAAACCAGATTTGAATCTCAATCGCTGTTGTCTTCCCATTGTACATAAAGTGCTTTTCTTGCAAATTTTTACTCAAAAACAAACTTTTGACTGAATTTTTCTCACTCCTCGAAACTCCTCGGTCATTTTGAACTCGATTTTGAAAGCTGATTTTCCCGCTTCGGCTTCGTCGAATCATAGGTCTTTATCATTGGAATTAGCATTCCATATACTTCTAGTTCAATGGTTTCCTTGTTATGTCAAAATTCCCTATTTGGTCAGCTATAATTGCGTTGATATGACGATTTCGCAGCCAATCGGAAACCATGAATATTTTAAAAAAGAAATAAATAATTTATAGGGTAATACGGGGCAAAATGAGACAGTGGGGGCTAAATGAGACACTTCGACTCATTCGCGTTTATATGACGTTGTGTTTAATTATTCATACCATAATCATCGCAGGCTCGTAACAAATATATAATTAAAAGATTCCTTATTATAATTGTTGCGTTTCAGCCTGCACAAATAACTTTAGGAATGTGGGAAAACTTCCTAGATGCCATATTCGGCATATTCGGTTTATTTTTTTGTCCCTCCAAGCATGAAGTGACTAGACCAATTCCTCTGCTCGATTGGGAAATGGCTAATTACTGTTTGTCCTGGGGGAGAACAACGATCATATCAGGTGATATAGCGCTACCCAGAATCTGCACAGCTAATCCAAGGGGAAATCCTAGTGGGGACGCACCTCCCACACCTTTTCAAATATCGTAATTATACTGTATATAATTTTAGCCAATTTACACGATTCTGGCTGGTTAAAAAGTGTCGGTGCGCAGGTATGCCGATAAATGTTCAATCGGCACACTTTCGAGCCCGCGGAAATTCTGAAAGCCCATGTGTGAGCGCAGAAATGTAATGGCCTGTTTACACTTGCAACTTTCGATGCGATTTCTAGTGCGATTTTCTTCTCATACATCTCAACGAGTAGATGAGTAATGAATGAACTGAGTATGTGTACCCTTATCTGAGCATTCATAACACATGCATCAGAAGAAGAAAATCGCACCCTTTGTGTTAGTTGTATTTCATCCTAATCAAGGTATTATTCAATACCAGACCTCGTTTATACTAAAGAAAAAGTTTTCGGATTCGTCAAAGTTACCAGATTCAGATTCAAGTATTTAGATACACAATATTTTATACATTTTTAGACCAGCTACTGAAAATGCAGCGGCCCTTCGATTCCAGTGCAGCTAGAAGTGCTTTAACCATCTGAGCTACATGTATTGTAACTAAAGTGGTGACGCCAATGTAAGGATATATGATTATGAGTGAATGTCAGGATTTGGGGCAATGACACTCGGAGTTTTTATAGGTGGAAATTTTGAGTCTAATTTATTTAGTTCTGAGCGACTATGGTGATTGAAAAGCACTTAAACATTGTCTATGTTGCACGAAGTGAAGAAATTAGCTGGAAAAGGTGACATCGACAGGGTCAAATGAGTCAAATGGTATTTGTTTTCGAAGACCGGATTGAATTTGAAGTCGCAGCTGAATGACTGAATTGAGATTTGCCGTGTTGCTAGCTTTTTGAGTGATTTTTGCACATTTAGCGAAGGTATTTATTGATGTTTATAGATTTAATTGCATGAATTCATTCAATTTGTATAAATTCAGTGGAATTTTCAAATATTTTCGACATTTTAAAAACTAATGACGTAATTCCGTCTGTCCTCGAATAGATCATGGCTCTCGACCAATGAAATCGCATGAATTCAGTTAAGGTTACAGAACACCTTTGAGTGTTAATTTTGCCTAAATTTTTTTTATTGGTTTCCATGAAAGCATTAGACTAGTTCTACTATCTGACCAAGTTTCAACGAAAAATGTTGAAAACTCGCAGAGTTATTTAATAAAATACATTTCGCTGCAATAAGAAAAACATTGAAAATGTAATATTCAAATTCAATTTTCTCCCGAAAAATTTTACGGTAATTACTGATTTTCAAACGAGTTGTGCTCCTGCGAGTTTTAACCAATTTTTCTCAAATTTTCACAGGACATAGCTAAAGACGTCAGTTTCAAAATTGTGTTCGGCTTTTTTTTAATTTTGGATATTTTAATAATAAAGAGCAATTCACTCAAACAATTCAGAAATATATTGCAGTCGTCAAAGAAATCGCCATATCAGCGGAAAGACGAAATAAACAAAAATTTCCGAACACTATTTTTTAGATCAACTATTTTGCTGTATAAAAATGATATTTTCATAAATATAACTTAAAACCAGCAGGAGCACAACTCAAAAGCGTAATGGTACCGCGATTTAAGATTTTCCTGAATAATTCTTACAATATTTTATTGTTTGTTAATTTTAAAACTTTACCATATTTTGCATGCACTGGCGAATATTTGGTGAAAATTTGATTAAAATCGGACCGATATTGAGCGCGCAGTAGCGATTTTCCGCAAAACACCAAAAAGGGTGTCCTGTAACCTTAAATTAAGCTTATTATATAAATTAGTATATTATATACATGAATTAGTGGTTAATCGACGACTGGACTCTGTAGTTCATCGGTATAGGGCGCTGCACTGGAATCGCATGGCCGCAGTTTGATTAGCTGAATTCATATTAGAAGACGGATTTTCGTGTAATACGGGGAACTCGTGTGGCAGATTTCCGTGTGGTATGAATATGAAACGAAAACCATCGGACGGTAAACCCGAAAAAATAGGAGACCCTCAATCCCAGTCTCCTTTCAACGTTACGAGCAGAAAACCGTCTTGATTTATTCGTATGATATAAATTTAAGACGAGTTTCCCGTCTAAGACGAGAAACTCGTCTAACTTAACTTTCCCGTCGTTGAGACGAGAAAGTTACACGGAAAAGTTGAGACGGAAAACCCGTCGTTAATCAGTGTATGAACTATCGAGTGTAAATAGCTGAATTCATATTAGAGGACGGATTTCCGTCTGAGACGGGAAGCTCGTCCAGATATACATAAATTCGGTTAATTTAATTTTTTAATTAAATTAAAAAATTAATTAAAAAATTAAATTAACCGAATTTATATCTGGACGAGTTTCCCGTCTCAGACGGAAATCCGTCCTCTAATATCATACACTGGATAATTCCATCAGCTCTAAAAAGTTCTCCCAAAATGTCTAGAGTACGGGACGAAAACTTGCATGCGCTCGATCTTTGGTAAACCCAAAATGGAGGCAATATGCCCATATGCGACCAATGCAAAATTCAGAAAATTGCATGTTGCCGCAATCGAACTTTAGTAATAAGGATGTAATGGCATACACTAAGTAAATCCGTCCCAATAGGTACGAGATTTCCACGTGCTTAACATATATGTACTTATATTTACCTGCAATTTGTATATGCTCGACAAAATTTGAAGTTCGTCAACTCAGCTTCTTCTGAGATAGAAAAAAAGCATCAATTAGATGTTGCTCGATTATTTGTAGCTGTCATTGTGTGGATGAATGATATAGTTGTAGTATATAGACTGAAGGGCTCACCAGATGTTTCAAGCTTATCTATCAATCCCTTTTCTATGTTACTAATATGCGTGTGAAAAGCGGAATATATAATAAGCTGCCATACTTGGTGTCACGACTACTTGAAAAAGATTTTAAAAACATTTCAAATTTTCTTTATTTAAACTGAGTGTGTGAAGGGCAGGATAATTAATAAGCCGCCATTGTTTGTGTGTTAACTATTATTATATTTGAAGAAGATTAAAAATATTACAAACATGACTACGATTCTTATGGTCACGTGCATGTCCAATATGATCAGTGTCATGTTTGGTTTCGTGTTTTGCAAGCCGCCGTGTCATGTCGTGTATATGCGTCCTTGCGACATTAATTCTACTGTTATTATAAAAACTACAATCCTTGCCAAAACGTTGTGGACAACCCACACACATTGACCTCGAATGGCGTTTCTCCAAATAAATATCCCCCGCATTGAAGAGGAGGAGTGGAGGATATGCGTGTAATGCAATGCAATGCAATGCAATGCAATGCAATGTAATGTAATGATAGGAATTATAATGTGGATGATCCTCGGTCGTGGAAAACAATTTGCCTGAAATGTAACCAGGCCCGGGATCTAACCAAACCTATTGCATGTTGTTTTTAAATTAGATCTGTATCTATACATACATATATGTGTGTTTATGTGTGTGTATGTTTGTGTAACACTGTACTTGTACGTTTACGTTTTGGGATCACAGTGATTTCCTGTCACATTTGTAATGTTATATATGTAATTATTGTTATTTGTCATGTATTCTTGTTGTGACAAAGCTTGTAAAATTTAAAAAAAAATTAAAAATTAATGTAATGTAATATATAACGTAACGTAAGGGAGTGTTCATTATTTATACCCGGGGTTGGTACCGAAGAGAAATAGGTTGGGTAAGCCAATTTTCTGGGGTATGAAGGGTTGGGTAAATATTTTTTGAACAAAGCCTATGGTTGGGTAAATTATTTTCAATACAACCTTGAATTGAACAAAATATGAAAATCCTTTATTTAACAAAATGGGTCGTTCCAGGATTTATCCATTCATTCCCCACATAGAAAACTAAACTCCAACTCCCCATCCCCTATGATTATAACAACGAGATATGGTAGGACTGCAGGAAGTTGGAGGCGTGGGAACATAATATGAA